GACACTACTGGTGTTTTATTGGCACTACTGGGGTTGTGTTGGCACTACTGGTGATGTGTTGGCACTACTGGTGTTATGTTGGAACTACTGGTGTTGTGTTGGGACTGCTGGTGTTGTGTTGGCACTACTGGTGATGTGTTGGAACTACTGGTATTGTTTTGGCACTACTGGTGTTGTTCTGGCACTACTGGTGTTGTGTAGGTACTACTGGTGTTGTGTTGGCACTATTGGTTTTGTGTTGGTACTATTGGTGTTGTGTTGGCACTACTAGTGTTGTGCTGGCACTACTGGTGTGTTGGCACTACTGGTGTGCTAGCACTACTGGTGTTGTGTTGGCACTACTGGTGTTGTGTTGGCACTACTGGTGCTGTGTTGGCACTACTGGTGTTGTGTTGGAACTACTGGTGTTGTGTTGGAACTACTGGTGCTGTGTTGGCACTACTGGTGTTGTGTTGGGACTACTGGTGTTGTGTTGGCACTACTAGTGTTGTGTTGGCACTACTGGTGTTGTGCTGGCACTATTGGTTTTTTGTTGGTACTATTGGTGTTGTGTTGGCACTACTGGTGTTGTGTTGGCACTACTAGTGTGTTGGCACTACTGGAGTGTTGGCACTACTGGTGTTGTGTTGGCACTACTGGTGTTGTGTTGTGACTACTGGTGTTGTGTTGCACTACTGGTGTTGTGTTGGCACTACTGGTGTTGTGTTGGCACTACTGGTGTTGTGTTGGCACTACTGGTGTTGTGTTGGCACTACTGGTGTTGTGTTGGCACTACTGGTGTTGTGTTGGCACTACTAGTGTTGTGTTGGTACTACTGGTGTTGTGTTGACACTATTGGTTTTGTGTTGGTACTCTTGGTGTTGTGTTGTCACTACTGGTGTGTTGGCACTACTGGTGTGTTGGCACCACTGGTGTTGTGTTGGCACTACTGGTGTTGTGTTGGCACTACTGATGCTGTGTTGGCACTACTAGTGTTGTGTTGGAACTACTGGTGTTGTGTTGGCACTACTGGTGTTGTGTTGGCACTACTGGTGTTGTGTTGGCACTACTGATGCTGTGTTGGCACTACTAGTGTTGTGTTGGAACTACTGGTGTTGTGTTGGCACTACTAGTGTTGTGTTAGCACTACTGGTGTTGTGTTGGCACTACTGGTGTTGTGTTGGCACTACTGGTGTTGTGTTGGCACTACTGATGTTGTGTTGGCACTACTGGTGTTGTGTTGGCACTACTGGTGTTGTGTTGGCACTACTGGTGTTGTGTTGGTACTACTGTAAAATATATCATCACATTTCTGGTTATTGATGCTGTTGTAAGCTGCATCATTCCTGACCTCTGACCCCTGACATCTATGTCTGATGTGTGAACCCTGACGTCTGTGTCTGACGTCTGACGTTTGACCCCCTGACTTACGACCTTCTGGGGTCCACCCTCCCTCTCCTCCATTGAAAGTCCTACGTTGAATGATACATATTGCTTGTTTGTTGATACCATTTGTTGCAATGTGTTATACAGTCATGACTTAATGTAAGAAAACGATATATTATGACATATAAGAATACTTTCTCGCTCACTCTTGTTTTTTATGTATTCTCTCTCTCTCTCTCTCTCTCTCTCTCTCTCTCTCTCTCTCTCTCTCTCTCTCTCTCTCTCTCTCTCTCTTCTCTCTCTCTCTCTCTCTCTCTCTCTCTCTCCCCTCGTCTACACACACACACACACGCGTAACTCGACGCCTGCAACCACAACTAGGTGAGTACACACACACACACATACACCCACGTACACCCACACGAAGACACACACACACTCCCACACAACCACAAACACACACACACACACACACACACACACGCAAGAAGGCCTTCGACACAGTTCCTCACAAGAGGTTACTGCAAAAGCTAGAGGATCAGGCACACATAACAGGAAAGGCACTGCAATGGGTCAGAGAATACATGACAGGGAGGCAACAACGAGTCATGGTAGGTGACGAGGTGTCAGAGTTTGCGCCTGTGACAAGCGAGGTTCCACAGGGGTCAGTCCTAGGACCTTTGCTGTTCTTGGTATATGTGAACGATATAACGGAAGGGATAGACCCAGAAGTGTCCTTGTTTGCAGATGATGTGAAGCTAATGAGAAGAATCAAATCGGATGAGGATCAGGCAGGACTACAAAGAGACCTGGACAGGCTACAAGCCTGGTCCAGCAACTGGCTCCTTGAGTTTAACCCTGCCAAATGCAAAGTCATGAAGATTGGGGAAGGGCAAAGAAGATCGCAGACACAATATAGTTTAGATGGCCAAAGACTGCAAACCTCACTCAAGGAAAAAGATCTGGGGGTGAGTGTAACACCGAGCATATCTCCTGAGGCGCACATCAATCAGATAACTGCTGCAGCATACGGGCGCCTGGCAAACCTACGGATAGCGTTCCGATACCTCAGAAAGGATTCGTTCAAGACTCTGTATACCATTTACGTCAGGCCCATACAGGAGTATGCAGCACCAGTTTGGAATCTACACCTAGTCAAGCACGTCAAGAAATTAGAGAAAGTCCAAACGTTTGCAACAAGACTAGTCCCAGAGCTACGGGGATTGTCCTACGAAGAAAGGTTGAGGGAAATCGGCCTGACGACACTGGAGGACAGGAGGGTCAGGAGAGACAGGATAACGACATATAAAATACTGCGCGGAATAGACAAGGTGGACAAAGACGGGATGTTCCAGAGAAGGGACACAGACACAAGAGGTCACAATTGGAAGTTGAAGACTCAGATGAATCAAAGGGATGTTAGGAAGTATTTCCTCAGTCATAGAGTAGTCAGGCCGTGGAATAGCCTAGAAAGTGACGTAGTGGAGGCGGGAACCATACATAGTTTTAAGGCGAGGTATGATAGAGCTCATGGGGCAGGGAGAGAGAGGACCTAGTAGCTCTCAGCGAAGAGGCGGGGTCAGGAGCTATGACTCGACCCCTGGAACCACAAATAGGTGAATACAAATAGGTGAGCACACACACACACACACACACACACACACACACACACACACACACACACACACACACACACACACACACACGCATACACACATCTCTTGAAACTGGGCACCTACCTGAGGTATGGAAGACGGCAAATGTATTTCCCATATTTAAAAAAGGAGACAGAAAAGACTCACTAAATTATAGACATGTGTCACTGACGTGTATAGTATGCAAAGCAATGGAGAAGATTATCAGGAGGAGAGTGGTGGAGCACCTGGAACGGAACAAGAGTATAAACGCCATCAGCACGGATTCATGGAAGGTAAATCCTGTGTCACAAACCTACTGGAGTTTTATGATAAAGTAACAGAAGACACGAGAGAGAGGGGTGGATTGATTGCATCTTCCTGGACTGCAAGAAGGTCTTCCACACAGTTCTTCACAGGAAATTGGTGCAGAAGCTAGAGGATCAGGCGCGTATAACAGGAAGGGAACTGCAATGGATCAGAGAATACCTGACAGGGAGGCAACAACGAGTCTTGGTACGTGATGAGGTATCACAGAGGGCACCTGTTAACAATGTGGCGAGCGGGATCCCACAGGGACCCCGCTCGTCACAATGCTATTTCTGGTATATGTGAATGACATGATGGAAGGGTTAGACTCAGAAGTGTCCCTGTTCGCAGATGATGTGAAGTTAATGAGGATCAGGTAGGACTTCAAAGAGAACTGGACAGGCTGCACATCTGATCCAGCAACTGGCTTCTCTAATTTAACACCGCCAAATGCAAAGTCATGAAGATCGGGGAAGGGCAAAGATGACCAAAGTCGGAGTATAGGCTAGGAGGCCGATGACTGTAAACCTCGCTCAAGGAGAAAGATCTTGGGGTGAGTATAACACCGAGCACGTATCTGGAAACACACATCAACCAGATAACTGCTGCAGCATATGGGCGCCTGGCAAACCTGAGAATAGCTTTCCGATACCTTGGTAAGGAATCGTACAAGACACTATACACCGTGTACTTCAGGCCCATATTGGAGTATGCAGCACCTGTTTGGAACCCACACTTGATCAAGCAAGTCAAAGAAATTAGAGAAGGTGCAAAGGTTTGCGACAAGGTAAGTTCCAGAGCTAAGGGAAATGTCCTACGAAGAAAAGTTAAGGGAAATCGGCCTGACGACATTGGAGGACAGGAATTTTAGGGTAGACATGATAACAACATACAAAATACTGCGTGGAATAGACAAGGTGGACAGGGACAGGATATCCCAGAAATGGGACACAAAAACAAGGGGACACAATTGGAAGTTGAAAACCCAGATGAATCAAAGAGATATTAGGAAGTATTTCTTCAGTCACACAGTAGTCAGGAAGTGGAATAGCCTAGCAAGTGAGGTAGTGGAGGTAGGAACCATACATAGCTTTAAGATGAGGTATGATGAAGCTCATGGAGCAGGGAGAGAGAGAGAGGACCTAGTAGCACTCAGTGAAGAGGCGGGGTCAGGAGCTGAGTCTCGACCCCTTCAACCACAATTAGATGAGTACAATTAGGTGAGCACACACACACACACACACACACACACACACACACACACACACACACACACACACACACACACACACACATACACACACACACACACAACAGGCCTAGTGTCTAATCGACATGTGCCTAGGACAAAATGGTAACTAACACACACACACACACACACACACACACTATCGCACATTCATGCACATACCCATATACATAAACATACCCATACACTCTTGATTTATATGCACATACTTATATAAGCCGACTGTAAATACTTACACTAGTACAAACAGATATGTATACACACCTGTACACATACGAATAAACCAAATATACTAACATCTCTACAAAGGAATCATGAATACACACACACACACATACACACACACACACACACACACACACACACACACACACACACACACACACACACACACACACACACACACACACACACACACACCAAAACATGCTAAGTCAACTCACTGTCAGTATGAAAGGAATAGTGTTGATCAGCTCCAGAAGGAAGTGGAACGACCTAAGAGTCTGCCATATGTTGCCCTGGAGGAGGAAAAACACAAATATTAATACGTCTTCCTTATTTTCGGTTCATCCAGTTTCTTAAACAGACGCTGGATGAACCCACGACTCTGTTCTTATTTTACAAGAATTACGTTAACATGCAATGGATGAAATAAGTCACTTTGTCTGGCTTTTTTGGGGAGATTATCTAAGGGAATCTACACATTCGCTGCTATGTATGATCATTTATGTAACTGTAAATATGTGTCTCTGTATCCGATTTATCTAGCCTGATCCATGGTGTTATTTCTGCATCCGAACAGACACTGGGTACACCCATGGTGCCATTCTCAATAGTCAAGACGAAATCTAGAAACACAGGAGCCTGGAGGATCTAGACACATGTTAAGGTAAAAGGACACAAGTGCAACTAATGTGACATTTTATTGTGGCAACGTTTCGCTCTCCAGGAGCTTTATCAAGCCATTACAAACAATACATGGACACAGAGGGTATATATAGGCTCAGAGTGAGGTGCAATACTAGTAGTAGTAGTAGTAGGAGTAGTAGAGACAAAAGTTGTAGTGGTAGTAGTAATACAATATGGTAGAGCAATTAATTCGTACATGAGTAAAAGGATATAAAAGCTATTACTTGGGTAACATAAAAATAGGTTGGACAAATATAGACTGGATAGAAGCAGCTTGTTTCAGTGTTCACTCTCTGTAACGTGCTTTGTGTAGTATAACAGGAGAGACTATGTGATGGCAGGGTTTACTGTTTTCAGGAGGATTCTCGCTAAGACTTCAGAGATGGTGAAGCTGCCGTTGTTTTGTTTAATTGTATTCGAAACAGCGATCAGTGCTGATTCGAGGCACTTGCGTCTGCGGAAATTAGTTTCTTTGATCACTAATTGGGCGTCTCTGAATTTCATGAGATGATTGGTGGAATTTCGGTGTTGTACACAGGCGTTGTTATTTTTACATTTGTTAAGTCTATACGTAAAGAATCTTAGTTGTACAGTAATACAGTCATATGATCAAGGTCACCACAGGCACTATCTTTACTTTGAATATTTTGTTTTTAATCACGTTGAGCAAAACACTGTGTTTAATGGAACACTATCTTTAATCTTTAATCTCCATGCTATCTTTGATCTTTATATTTTCGTTTAATAGAGCACAAGAAGAAGAAGAAGAAGAAGAAGAAGAAGAAGAAGAAGAAGAAGAAGAAGAAGAAGAAGAAGAAGAAAAGAAGAAGAAGAAGAAGAAGAGAAGAAGAAAGAAGAAGAAGAAGAAGAAGAAGAAGAAGAAGAAGAAGAGAAGAAGAGAAGAAGAAGAAGAAGAAGAAGAAGAAGAAGAAGAAGAAGAAGAAGAAGAAGAAGAAGAAGAGAAGAAGAAGAAGAAGAAGAAGAAGAAGAAGAAGAAGAAGAAGAAGAAGAAGAAGAAGAAGAAGAAGAAGAAGAAGAAGAAGAAGAAGAAGAAGAAGAAGAAGAAAAGAAAGAAGAAGAAGAAGAAGAAGAAGAAAAAAAGAAGAAGAAGAAGAAGAAGAAGAAGAAGAAGAAGAAGAAGAAGAAGAAGAAGAAGAAGAAGAACAACAACAACAACAACAACAACAAGGAAAATCAGTACACCGTTAAGGTTTAGTTTGCTACACGTGTAATTACGTAGAATTACGTATTTCGTTTTGATAACACTTCGTCTATAATTACAATATGAGCAAGGGAGGTCTTATTGGATAATTATGGTATTTATGCTGCCAGTAATTTTAGGTGTGGGAGCCACTTGTTGGTTGTTCTCTGAGGTAATACTTGCTAACAACACTTACCACACTTTACAAAACTTACGAGAATTGAGAGTGACAACAGTTGGTGATAATACAATGGTGTTGGGGTAATATTTCCATGCGTTCTAATCTGTTTTATATCAATGTGGCAAACTTTTTTTTTTAACACAGATGAGGTTTATAGCCAAGTAAGGGTGACCCTAAGAGGGAAATAGATTTACCATCACTCATTTCCAAGTTATCTCTCTAGAGGTGCATGGACATCATAGCTCAAATTATCTTCCGATTCGCAATATCTCCCATCACTGAGAATGACGCCACTGTATGTGCAGACTCCAAAACGCATGTCTATCTTATGAGTTTTCCTTTAGTTCCTTCAGTGATGTGTTTGCTCACACTCCAACAGCGCTTCAAATCCCCAAAACTACTTGTCTCCACTCTAACACATTCACACATGCCTCTAAAATGAATAAGTCCCTACCATTAAGCTTCCTTCACAACCCTCCTTCCAACATATCCTGTGTTGCCTCCAGCACCTTCATCCACCCACACACGATCTATACACCTTGTTGACATAGGTCTCCATACAACAAAATTTCGAGTATTAAACGGGAAGTGTATCCCTGACTTTAGTGTCTAGGTAACTTGTAGAAGTGGTCGATATACCTTCATGCTGCGACACTAACTTTATCAACGTGTAATACTGTTATTTACACTAAACTCATCACACACAATTCCTAAGTAATGCCTTGGATGATCTGAAAAAAACCAGGCTTAAAACCTTAGTGCTAGATAAAGTATCAAAACATGGCTTTTTACATTCTTCGACGTCAGCTCAACACAATACAGGAATCTAACTTTAATTCTGAGGCAAAGATATCTTCACTCTAAATTATATTATATACATTGTTAAAATATTCATCTTGTTACGCGTCGTAATGTTTTTTTGATCTACATGTTTTAAAACCGAATTTACTGAATCTTCGTAATATTCATGGATGCGTGAATTTTTTTTAGTGCATTTGTGAAAGCATATTTTTTAGTGCATTTGGGAAAGCATATTTTTTAGTGCATTTGTGAAAGCATATTTTTTAGTGAATTTGGGAAAGAATATTTTTTAGTGCATTTGTGAAAGCATATTTTTTAGTGCATTTGGGAAAGAATATTTTTTAGTGCATTTGTGAAAGCATATTTTTTAGTGCATTTGGGAAAGTATATTTAATGAATTGTGTTCAGTTTGCGTTTTATGTTTATCAATAAGTTTTTAATTTTTGCTGATTATTTTACAATTGGCTTTCAAAAATAATTAATTATCCAGCTCTTACATAAGTTGTTTCTGACTTACCTCGTAATACTACAATTAATTTTTTAGGTCGTGTGCTGAGTCTGCAGTGGTTTCACAGTTTTGTGTAAAGTATAAACAGTTTACTAGAAACAGTATATATGCTTAGAAAAACAACAATATGAACTAGTAAGAGAGGCAATATGTAATCCCCTTATAACTTTAACTATCAGGTGAACTTCAGGCAGGCAGAAAGTATTCACCTTATAACTTAGGTAAGCCAGCAGAAGGACTTCAGGCAGGTAGAAAGTATTCACCTTATAACTTAGGTAAGCCAGCAGGAGGGCTTCAGGCAGGTAGAAAGTATTCACCTTATAACTTAGGTAAGCCAGCAGGAGGGCTTCAGGCAGGCAGAAAGTATACACCTTATAACTTAGGTAAGCCAGCAAAAGGACTTCAGGCAGGCAGAAAGTATTCACCTTATAACTTAGGTAAGCCAGCAGAAGGACTTCAGGCAGGTAGAAAGTATACACCTTATAACTTAGGTAAGCCAGCAGAAGGACTTCAGGCAGGTAGAAAGTATTCATCTTATAACTTAGGTAAACCAGCAGAAGGACTTTAGGCAGGCAGAAAGTATCCACCTTATAACTTAGATAAGCCAGCAGGAGGGCTTCAGGCAGGCAGAAAATATACACCTTATAACTTAGGTAAGTCAGTAGAAGGACTTCAGGCAGACAGAAAGTATTCACCTTATAACTTAGATAAGTCGGCAAGAGGACTTCAGTGAGACAGAAAGTACTCACCTTATAACTTAAGTAAGCCAACAGTAGAGCCTCGGAGAGAGACACAAGAGCCACAGCCACCTGGATGGCCCAGAGAGGCAGAGTCCTGTTGACCCATAGCACCGCTTGCCAGTTGATGATTGGCTTTTCTTGGAACTGTTCATCTGTCTTGTTCCCGTACTCCAGGAAGAACGTCACCGCCTCCGTGCTTTCCTGGCACTCATAGCTGTCAAGGCGAGAGATAGAGAAATATAGTCAGAGCTACGAGAGAGAGGAGGTTATGCAGTGTTATAGCTGGCAAGGCGAGAGATAGAGAAATATAGTCAGAGCTACGAGAGAGGAGGTTATGCAGTGTTAGTGTTATAGCTGTCAAGGCGAGAGATAGAGAAATATAGTCAGAGCTACGAGAGAGAGGAGGTTATGCAGTGTTATAGCTAACAAAGCGAGAGATATAGAAATGTGATTTATTATTATTATTATTATCAACATCATCATTGTCAATTTAAATACTAAACCCAGAAAGGTCATATAGTGCCTTAAAGAGGGATGTGAGAAAGTAGGAACGTGTGACGAGCAGGAATGTGTGAAAGTTGGAGTTAGTGGAGGTAGGGAGAGAGAGAGCAAGAGTAACACTGAAATGACAGCTGATGCAATAAGTTAGTATCCGTTAAAACGTTTAAGAGTCTACGTCAGACGTGGGTCTTTCAGCGAGGAGGTCAGTTAGAGTGTCTTGAGGCCACGGAGACTTCCAAAGTGAAAAAGGGAAATATCGCGAGAGGTATGAAAGTTGAAGTTATATCGCATTAGAGGTTTTCTCAGGTTTTGTGGCTGCAAAAAAAAGCTCTAGAGTACTAAAAAGAGCTTCAGACAACGTTTCGCTCAAAGGTGAGCTTTCCAAGCCTGAAAAAAGAGCTTTCCTTTATCCTTCTTGTTAGTATTTTGCCTTCCAGAACGAAGTGGCAAATTGAATAACATTCACAATTCGGTGGGTGGAACAGTTAACATCTAACCAACAAATTTAAGAGGCAAATCAGATGACGTTTCTGTCCATCCTCACAGTTATCATCAACAGTTACTGTCCATCCTCCTATTATCATCACGAGTTTTTATCCATACTTATTATCAACATCAGTTTCTGTCCATTCTCACTATCAACATCATTTTCCTTTCAGTCTCATCAGTATCATTCTGATTACCCGATTTATTGATTTATTTTACTTCTTCCAGAGTTTCGGTTTATAACTTGAAATCACCATATCCAATTAGTTAAAATTTTCCCCACTGATGTACTGTAACTAGAAAAAGGATCATGCAGCTACTGACATATGCAGGAAACTTCTGGTCAGTGTTATGTGGACAATTCCTGGTTGAGGCTTTAGTGCGGTAACTTGAAAAAGCCTCTTCTGACTGCCTTCAAATTTCCAACACTAATGTAGCCTACTTAAAAGAAAGTTGATTCTTAATGGAGTGTGTAGAAGCCAATTCGCCAGTTTTTTTCAGACGTATGGTATTATTTCCACGAACTATTTCGAATAAGCGTAATCTGAACGGAAGAGGAACACTACAGGAGAGCTAAGGATCCACAAGGGGTAATGTTGAACAGTTTTGCAAGAGCCAAGTGTATGAACATTTATAGAAACTTCAGTGGCTTATATTTTTTTTGAATGTGCCCGAGCCAATATTATATCATTGTATTTTAGGATTAGATGGAGCTGCATCCTATTTTGATAATTTACTAGTTATTGCTGACTCCTGGGACGAACATGTGCAATGCTTAGACAGTTATTTTATTTACATTTGGAAAATCATCGATTATTTTTTGGGGGTCACGTAGCTGGACAGAGTAAACTGACGCCTAGAAACACCAATGTTCAGTTTATTCCTACATTTTACACCATCCCATGAAAGAAAAAACACTCCAGAGAGTTTACGGTATGGTAGGATTTTACCGGCAATTCTGCCATAATTACTCTGATGTTGCAGCCTCATTAGCTTCCCGTACCAGTTAATTACATTTGGCCGGCTTGTTGTCACGAAGCTTTTACAGGGATAAAGAGGCTATTGTTTACGGATTATGTTTTCATGTTGCTTATGTCTGTGAAAGACCTGGCCAGTGATGGAGAAATTGGTACAGAATTATGGTGTCCTTCACACGTTGATATTCTTCTCAACAGAGCTGGTAGCAGTGATAACAGTTGCAACAATACTGTTATAAAATAAACAAGAGAAAGCAGTGTGAGATAGAGAAAGGAGTTACACGAGAGGACTGAAGTAGAGGGTTGAAGGAGAGGACTGAAGAAGTGAATTGAAGCAGACGGTTGAAGATAGGGCTTCAAGTTGAAGGTTGACGAAGAGGGTTGAAACACAGGGTTGAAGTAGAGGGGCTGGAAAACTTACCAGTTAGCACGGACTGGGTCATCATCTATAAACACCCGCACTATGTAAAGTACACAAGTCAATAACTTGATCAGCAGGTTGAAGATCCGTATCCTAAGACCTGTCAACGAGGAAAATAAACATTATAATGCTTGTCCTAAGACCTGTCAACGAGGAAAATAAACATTATAATGCTTGTCCTAAGACCTGTCAACGAGGAAAATAAACATTATAATGCTTGTTCTAAGACCTGTCAACGAGGAAAATAAACATTATAATGCTTGTCCTAAGACCTGTCAACGAGGAAAATAAACATTATAATGCTTGTCCTAAGACCTGTCAACGAGGAAAATAAACATTACAATGCTTGTTCTAAGACCTGTCAACGAGGAAAATAAACATTATAATGCTTGTCCTAAGACCTGTCAACGAGGAAAATAAACATTATAATGTTTGTTCTAAGACTTGTCAACGAGGAAAATAAACATTATAATGCTTGTCCTAAGACCTGTCAACGAGGAAAATAAACATTATAATGCTTGTCCTAAGACCTGTCAACGAGGAAAATAAACATTATAATGCTTGTCCTAAGACCTGTCAACGAGGAAAATAAACATTATAATGCTTGTCTTAAGACCTGTCAACGAGGAAAATAAACATTATAATGCTTTTCTTAACCATGTGGAAATACGTGGTGATATATACCTCTTTAACAAGTACCACTGAACATATATACATCACATTAAAAACCAGTGTTTTGATCTCAGTCGATCTTCACTAGAGGTTTTCTCTAAAATTTCAGTAAGTAGAGGTAGGCCTAAATCATAGACCCTTTCCAACATGGGCTCGATTTTATATATATTTTTGTCATATTGGAGTTTATCTTGTTATATCTAAATACTTGATTACACTAGGCATGGAATTTTTTTTTTTTACCTCTGATATATTTTTGAGGGATTTTGAGTCTTTTTCAAGTACGAACCCCGACGTTAGGCCAGGCTTTTCTGGTGCTTGGCCGGTTAACAAGGCTGTTGCTGTTGGCGGCCCACTGGATGCCATATCCATCACTGGTTGGTTGATGTGGTACTTGAAGGAGTTACTTGTCAAGTATTCTCTCGAGGACTTCTACACTTGTTCCAGCAGTGTCTCTGATATCTTCTGGTAAGACGTTTAATAGTCTAGAACCGTGGATGATGATATAGTGCTCTCTCACTGGGCCCAAAGAGCCCCTGTTTTTCACTGGGTTTAGTGTGCACGTTTACTAAGTACCTTCAGCACACTCACACACACACATACACACACACTCACACACACACACACACACACACACACACACACACACACACACACACACACACACACACACACACACACACACATACACACACACGCATACACACACACACATACACACACACATACACACAGGAACAAACACTTGTAAAAGCTGTAGTACACACACACACACACACACACACACACACACACACACACACACATACACAGGATTTCACACCTTCCTGTGGACTGACCATCTAAACCTCGCTCCTTCTCTCTCTCTCCCTCTCTCATTACCTGTCTCCTTCTCTACCTATCTCTCTACCTATCTCTCTCTACTTATCTCACTCTTTACCTATCTCTCTCTCTCTCTACCTATCTCTCTCTCTCCCTCTCCCACCTCTCCTTTCTAACATCTCTTCCCTCTAACACCTCCCCCCTCTAACATCTCTCCCCCTCTAACATCTCTCCCCTCTCTTTATCTCTCCCCTCTCCCTTTTCCCATCTCTCTCTCCTCCTCCCCTCTCTCTCCCCCTATCCTCTCTCTCCCCTCTCTCTCTTCCATCTCCCCCTCTTTCCCCCATCTGCCCCTCTCTCCCCCTCTCTCTCCCCCTCTCTCTCCCCCTCTCTTTGCCCCCTCTCTCACTCTCTATCTCTCTCTCTCGCTCTCTCTCTTCCCCCTTTTCCCTTCTCACTCTCCCCCTCTCTCCTTCTACCTTTCCCTTCTCTCTCTCTCCCTCTCTCTCTCTCACTCTCTCTCTCCCCCTTTTTCCTTCTCACTCTCCCCCTTTTTCCTTCTCACTCTCCCCCTCTCTCCTTCTACCTTTCCCTTCTATTTTTTTTCACAGGGTTTGACAAGGTTAAGGATCCCTAGCTTTATTGACAAGCTATTTATAGGTTAAGGATTCCTCACTTTATTGGCAAGCTAAGAGTTGTTACCTACATCAGCTCATTTGAAAGCATTTTTATTGTTATGAGACATACAAGTAGGGAACAGGATGAAGTTGGAGCCATCTGTGGGCCAGCATTTTCATTTGATAAACTGACTTTATCTCGTTGACATCATTATGCTGTACGAATGTGTTCCATACTCGAGTCATCCTGGGTATATAGGATCTCAGATGGAGTGATGTTCTGGAGAAGGGTACAGCCAGAGTGAAGTTGCTCCTTTCTGCCCGTCTTGTCGCATAAAAGCTTGTTCCACGCTGTCCTCGAAGTGGATCCAAGTGTGGAATTTTGACAATATTGGCCTTGTACATAACAGTAAGGCCACCCACATCCCTCCTATTTTGAAGGCTCTGCTGAAATGACACTTCTATCCAGGATGGGTCCAGGCGAGAGATGAGATGTCTTGCTCTGTTCTCTACTCTGTCAAGCACTCGCAGATGAGAGGGATGTGGGGCAGGCAAACCAAGAAAGTGGAGCATACTCAAGGTGTGAGCGTACTTGTGCCTCGTACAGGATCTTGCAACCCCTACTGTCAAGCAGATGCGAGATACGGCGAAGTGCTGTAAGCTTCCTGGCTGCCTTGTTTGCAAGATTTACAACATGGTTCTTCATGGTTAGTTTGGAGTCAAATTTCACCCCAAGGATATGAACTTCTTCTCCAGGTGCCAACACCCTCCCATTCATCCTTACTACTGCACCAGCATTACCATCATGGTGCCTAGAGACGATCATCATTTGCGTTTTCTCAGGTGCAAATGTTACTTGCCATCTATTTCCCCAAGCTGATATAGCTCTCAGCTGGTGATTGATGTAGCTTAGAGCAGCTGGCATTTCTTCTCTTGGATAAGTGAATGTCAGTGTACAGTCGTCTGTCTGCATATGCATGTGATTCTGGGATGAGATGAAGAAGGTCGTTGAAGTAGACATTCCATAACAATGGTCCCAGCACGCTTCCTTGTGGAACACTTGCCCCAATAGGATGTCTTGCTGATTCCGTTCCATTGAGAACTACACTTAGAGATCTACCATGAAGGTAATCACTGAGGAGACATAGCGTAGAGCCTGCAATTCCCAGTGCTTGAAGTTTTGCTAAGAGGCCCTGGTGCCACACCCGGTCGAAAGCGCCAGCAATGTCCAGTGCTACCACACAGCTGACTTTGGATTCATCCAGTGACTGGTGCCACTTAGTGGAGAGGTATAACAACAGATCAGCAGCAGAGTAATCTTTCCTGAAGCCATATTGACGATCACAAAGTAGTGAGTGGTAGTCAAAAAACTCTGTCGTTTGTCTTGAGATTTTTGTCTCAAGGATCTTACCAGTGATTGACAGCAGTGACACTGGTCTGTAGTTGCTGATTTCTGCTGTGCTCTTCTTTTTGTGAACAGGGACTACAGTTGCCTCTTTTCATAGAGAGGGCCATTTACACTGTACTAGGCAGTGCTGAAAGATGCGAGTTAGAGGTGCTGCTAGCTGGTCTTCACATCTTCTCAGCAATCTTGGGCTCAACTCTCTCTCTGTCTCTCTCTCTCTCTCTTCTTCCCCATTTTCCCTTCTCATTCTCCCCCTCTCCTACCCTTCCCTTCTCTCTCTCTCCCTCTCTCTCACTCTCTCTCCCCCATTTTCCTTCTCACTCTCCCCCTCTCTCTCTCCTTCTACCTTCCCTTCTCTCTCTCTCCCCCCCATTTTCCCTTCTCACTCTCCCCCTTCCTACCCTTTGGTTCTCTCTCTTTCCCCTCTCTCTCACTCTCTCCCCCTTTCCCTTTTCACTCTCCCCCTCTCTCTCTCCTTCTACCTTTCCCTCTCTCTCTCTCTCTCTCTCTCTCTCTCTCTCTCTCTCTCTCTCTCTCTCTCTCTCTCTCTCTCTCTCTCTCTCTCTCTCTCTCTCTCTCTCTCTCTCTCTCTCTCTCACTCAAAAAAAAAAAAAAAAAAAAATGGTGGGGACTCGCAGGAACCAGGAATCAGATGAGAATGGTTCTGGTAGGGAGGAGTTGATGGAGGAGCAGTGAAAAAGGATGGAACAAGAGTGGGAGAAAAAATTAGGAGAGCTTTCTGAAAAAAATGGAGAAAGAGCTCTCTGTGAAATTGGAAAAGAGGTTGGAGAAGGAGACAAAGAATTGGGAGGCACAAACAGACAAACAGGCTGAAGCGAGTTACAGGGGCAGTGACCAGAGAAGACACAGCATATGAAGCTGAGAGGTCGAACAGGAAGGAAGGAGATATGAATTATGCTAAGGTCATATCAGCCTGCCAAGAAGGGCCAAGGAGTGAAAGGGAAGAACAGCTGGGTGCAGATGGAGAGGGTGATAGGTCGAATGCTGAGGCACAACCACACTATCAAGAGCCACTGGAAAAATCAAGGGAGAAAATGACCACATACAGACAGGATCCAGAGTCACAGAGGGTGAGGCAATGGGAGGAGGAAAGGGCAAAATCAGTGTTTATCCATGGGCTTCAGGAGAGAGAGGAAAGGACACATACTGAAAGGCGGTAGGAAGAAAAAAAGGAGATTGAGAAAATCATCACGGAAATAGGTGAAGAAGAGATGGACGAGATTGTAAATTTTCAGAGAATAGGGGGGTACTTGAAGGGGAGAAACCAACCGATCAAGCTGATTCTAAGGACGGAAACAGTGAGGAACAGGATCCTCCAAGAGAAACCACGGTTGAAATACTCGGAAGAGTACAAGAGAGTGTTCCTAGACAGAGACAGAACACAACCAGAACGACAGCAGCTGAGGGAGAGGACAAAAAAGCGAAAGGAGCTAGGAAAGGAGACAAGTATGGATCCAGCAGAGGTTAGTCAGAGCAGAACAGAGCAGCAAGGGCAAGCACACACACAACTATCCTCAGAACCCCACAACCTACTACACCATCCCAACACACCCTACAATCTAT